AAAACTCCATCCTTGAGATGCCGGCAGTATTGAAAATACCGCTTTTGCTCCGCGTAAAAACCTTTCTCCATGGCACCGGTCCCTGGTGCCCAAAAGATTGGGGACCTCTGGTATAGATAATTGACTGCGGCAGTAAGTTGGCTTGTCATTGTGGGGAAAAGCCTGATTTTCTTGTCCAGCTTCCATGAATAATCTTGAAGGTTTAATTCTTGGCATGTGATACAAATTCACTAAGGCTTTTGTCCAATGTGTCTCAGTAAATGTTTCCAATAAATTGTACTATTCACGGCAAAAGACAACATTCATGCCTAGGCATTGAGATTCTCATTCATTCGTTATTTTTTTTTTTAAGATTGATCATGAAAGATATTTATTTATATTTATTTTTGTACATATTGGTACTGAATTCTGAGGTAGAAAGCAAAGAAAATAGATTTATTTAGTCTCAAGCAGACCAACAGCTTTATTTGAGCTATATTTTTGGCAGGATGGTTATCTACTGAGCTACATTGCTCTTCTTTTTGCATTGGTTTAAGAGCGCCCTCTCCTGACACAATAATGGCAGCAAATGGACAAAGTAAAATTTTTCGAAATAGATTTTTTTGAAAAATGAAATTTATAAATGACCACTGACAAATATATGCTTCAATCTTGTAATATATCACAGGAATTGACTGAAATATCCCACTGACATATACAATCAGCGTGAAGTTTGTTATTGAAAAATATTTGAAATAATGTATTAAGTAGAAAAATATGATAAACATTGCACAAATTTCTGTGGAATAAGCAGCGAACCCCATAATTCATAAAATATACAATATAACCAATCCACTACATATTATCTATAAGGTTTTAAAGGAAATCCACTAAGTATTTCATTTTTCATGGAAGAAAATCAGAATTTAACTCTAATTTGCTTTTCCTTAGTCATAGAATTAAAGAATGGGAAAAGCCATATAGCCATTGTAGCAAATGTCTTTCTTACCCATTTGAATATTATATTATTGTGTAGGCTCTGAGGTGTTGCTTGATAAAGAAATACGAGAAACCAAAAAGTTGCCTTAAAGCTTTACGTTTTTATTCAGCTGAACAAAGACGGGCCCCTCTCAAAGAGAGAAGCCCTGAATGACAGAAAATCCCTATATTTATACTTTTTGATTATATAAGCAATCGACCTAGCAGAGTTGACACAAAGACTTCACCCAGAATGGCTGGCACACCATAGAGAAGGGAGAAAGCAGTAGCAGCTAAAAATGTTCCTTCTGAGTGTTTCCCTAAAGACATTGTACAGTATGTTCTCAGGTGGATTGAGACATTGGGTGTTTTCCTTGCTATCCTTTCATAACGCTGCAAGTGCCCAAAGACAACAGGGTCATCTGCACATATTCACAATTAATACTTTCTGTTTTCCCCTAATTCCGTGTCAACAATATTCTCTACCCCAAATACAGTGACAGATATGAATATATACAAAACAGGGAAAATATGTAGATAAAAGCAGCTGGTGCCTTTAGGAAGTGCTATGAATCCATACTGAACTATGGTGCTGGAGAAGACTCCTGCGAGTCCCTTGGACTGCAAGGCGTTCAAACCGATCAGTCCTAGAAGAGATCAACCCCGACTGCTCTTTAGAAGGCCAGATCCTGAAGTTGAAACGCAAGTACTTTGGCCACCTAATGAGAAGGAAGGATTCACTGGAGAAGAGCCTAATGCTGGGAAAGATTGAGGGCAATAGAAGAAGGGGACGACAGAGAATGAGATGGCTGGATGGAGTCACTGAATCAGTAGGTGTGAATTTAAATGGACTCCAGAAGATGGTAGAGGACAGGAAGACCTGGAGGAACATTGTCCATGGGGTCGCGACGGGTCGGACACGACTTCGCAATTAACAACAACATGAATCCATTCACCTATAAAGACTTTCTCATTACCACTTTCCTCCCAATTTACATATATTGACCAAACTATCCCACTTGTTCAGTCCATAGAAGTTTCACAACCGGCTATCAAAGATTAGCTCCATGCACTCTAGTTGCACACAGAAGCCATCTCAGAAAAAGCATTTTAAAATACTTGCCATATATGGAGATGCAATCCCTTTCAAGTCCCCGAGTGCATTCTTTCAGTTTTTGGCCAACCACCTCCCTGTGGCTTTAGGAATTTATAAGGGATTAACTTTTTCATTAGATCTTTAGTAAATTACGAGTCAAAGTTTTATTTCTCATAGTGTTTAGCATTTTCCCATTATTATTGTAAATTATATGCTGTCTTTGGTGTTGTTGCTGTAGCACAAAAATGACAAAAATGAAGGAAATGGTGTGTCATTTTTCCAGAAGGTTGTTAATGAACGTTTTAAAAAGGGTAGTTTTAATTTAGCAATTAAAAATCAGCCCAACAGAAAAGGTCTACAGTGTTTCCTATGAATCATTAAGAGAAGACATTTCCATTCTGGGACCAACCATTAGATCCTGAATCAGTAGACATCAACAGATATTTTATTCTGACAGTGATGGCAAACCTTTTAGAGACCAAATGCCCAAACTGCAACCCAAAACCCACTTATGCATGGTCAGGTGCCAGGTGGGTGTGGCCCATTGGCTGGGTGTGGCCAATTGGGGGAGTGTGGCCCATTGGGTGGGCATGGCTGCAGTGGTAACGGCAGACTGGGTGGAACTAAAAAGTTCAATCAATCAATTCCAACTTTGCAAGATCTTTTTTTTTCCTGCAAGAAGTTGAAATTGACTGATTGATTTTTTTTGAACTTTTTTTTTCTTGCACACGGCAGCGGAGGCCTAAAGTGAAAAGGTTTTATAAAACCCAGCTGAAGGCCTAGGACTGGGGCGATGGCGCGCGTGCCCACAGAGAGGGCTCTGAGTACCATCTCTAGCACCCGTACTATAGGTTCGCCACCATTGTTCTATGACGTTTTACTGGCAACAGTAGCAATCTGATCATATTCATGCTAACTCTAAAGGCAGTTCAATTTCCAAAGACTTCCTGGATATTTGTGGAGTAGATGGGATTCAGAATTATATACTTAGAATATGTAGTCTGAGAAATCATCACACAGCTTCTTCAGGGGCTATCTCATAAATCTCTGCAATTAAAATAATACAGTCTACATTGATCTAGGCAGGGCTAGATGAATCAAAAGTTGGAATTAAGATTGCCGGGATAAATATCAACAACCTAAGATATGCAGATGATACCACTCTAATGGCAGAAAGTGAAGAGGAACTAAAGAGCCTCTTGATGCGGGTGAAGAAGGAGAGTGCAAAAGTTGGCTTGAAACTCAACATTAAGAAAACCAAAATCATGGCATCCGGCCCTCTCAATTCCTGGCAAATAGATGGGGAAGAAATGGAGGTAGTGACAGATTTTATTTTTCTGGGCTCAAAGATCACCTCAGATGGGGACTGCAGCCAAGAAATTAAAAGACGCTTGCTCCTGGGGAGGAAAGCTATGGCAAATCTAGACAGCATTCTAAAAAGCAGAGACATCACCCTGCCAACAAAAGTGCGTATAGTCCAGGCCATGGTTTTCCCAGTTGCAATGTATGGCTGTGAAAGTTGGACCATAAGAAAGGCTGAGCGCAAAAGAATTGAGGCCTTTGAACTATGGTGCTGGAGAAGACTCCTGCGAGTCCCTTGGACTGCAAGGCGTTCAAACCGGTCAGTCCTAGAAGAGATCAACCCGACTGCTCTTTAGAAGGCCAGATCCTGAAGTTGAAACTCAAGTACTTTGGCCACCTAATGAGAAGGAAGGACTCACTGGAGAAGAGCCTAATGCTGGGAAAGATTGAGGGCAATAGAAGAAGGGGACGACAGAGAATGAGATGGCTGGATGGAGTCACTGAAGCAGTAGGTGTGAATTTAAATGGACTCCAGAAGATGGTAGAGGACAGGAAGACCTGGAGGAACGTTGTCCATGGGGTCGCGATGGGTCGGACACGACTTCGCAATTAACAACAACAACAACATTGATCATACTTTTTTCCCATTTCTCAGATATTGCCTAGATACCATGCAAACCATATTATGGATTATTTAATTTTGGCTTAATGCATTAAACGAACTCAAGCATTCTATTTGATAAACTCCTACTGAACAAATTAGTTTAGCATTAGATGCAAATTCGGGATCTTAACAAAATATTCCTACAGTCTAAATATATTTAATTCTTTAAGAATCAGTATAGACATAGATAATTTCAGGATACTTGATTATATATAAACACATATATTATTTTTCATTTAATGTCATAAAAACAAATGATTGGGTATTTATCACTAGTTTTTTGGCAAATTGTTAGGAAATACCTCAAAGCCAACTTTAGGAATTGACTTCAAAAACCATCAAAAGCCAGCAATGAAATAAAATATCTGGTGTAAAATATTCCCAGAAATCTTTTCTTGCCTAAAAACAGATTGCTGAATTCTGTTAAAGTATTCTTCTGTAATTTTACATATTTTTTAATATTAGAAAAAGTACTCAGAAAGCAAAAGCAGGAAATATATATAATTCATTAGTCCAACATTTCATTCTAAAGAAAATATAAATACTATTTAATGCACTACTTCAGAGGTCCCCAACCTATGGGCCGTGGGGGGATTACAACTGGACCATGGAAATGGCCAGTGAGTGTGCGCACATGTGCATCCTCACTTGTGCAAGGAGGCGAGCAAGTGCACTCCATTTGCATGAGTAGCAGGCCCGCGTGCATGCCACTCATGCAAATGGAGCTGCTTGCGCATGCTTGCACAACACCATCTCCTCTCCCCTCCCACCAGTCCACAAAGCTTGAAATGTTGGGGAACTCTGCACTACGTCATCTTCCCATAGTTGGCTGTCTTCTATAAGTAAGTGATAAATAACACTGTCTTATTTATTTATTCCATAAATAATAATAATAAAGCTTCCTGATTTACTTGCTTTTTATTTCTTTTAATTCACAAATGGTATTATGGGCTGAGAATACATGAAAATTACTTCAGACAATCATGGTTTTTTTCATTTATTTAAAATTATCAATTTATTAGTTCTCTTTCTGATACATCCAAATGAAAAGATGTCACATTTTTGCAATTAAATGCCCATACACAAAGGGAAAGTAGAGCCAATTACAATTTGGTAAAAAGTTTGTGGAATAAACAAAACTCTGAAAACACACGCAAAAATTGGTGGCATGTACTTTACCCTATTTCATTCTTCTACATCTACATGCTCACTGCTCATTGCAGTACTGAACTGAATGATCCACCAAGTGTGTATGTGTGTGTATTTTAATTAAAAGTCTGGCACAACTGAAATACATAGAAATAATGTGGAGACTGATGTACTGGCATTAAATAAATAAACAGAAACTGGTTTTTAAAAGCCAAAAAAACACTGGTATTCATACAACCCATATATACCAATTGCTTCCAAATAACTCTAAAATATCCATGATTTACATAATCACTTTTGTGTGGTTCCTATAAGAACCTCCTGTAAAATTAAGAGGCATCCGATGACAGTCTCCTAGATTGTGAAGTTCTTTTTGTACTCCATTCTATTTAATCCCACCCCCCATCCCCCATAACTACATACTGGACTGCTTTAAGCATTGTCTGAATGAGACTTGGGATCATAAACCACGCAAGTTGAAAAGTAAGAAATACAGATTTACATAAATACATAAATACAGATTTATGTTCTTCAGTCAAGCAGAATTTTTATGCTTTCTCCAAATGCTGGAGACCAAATTGATTCAGTTGTAACTAGTAACAAATAATTAGAAATCAGAGTTTGATTTGGGCTTACTGAGGCAACTATAAGTTATTATAACAAAAAGTCATTATCCTTGAGAAAAGAACTATTTAAAATCTAAAGTTATTAAAATCCTAGGACAAAAATTAAAATTACTCCCTAATTTTTGGTAACTACATCCTTGATAGAAAGGGTGAGTACATCAGTTAAACTAATAATGTTTTATATTTTGTTTATAAAACTATTAACTTTCAGTAACTCAAAAGCTAGAGAGGTGGAAAGTGGCTGCAAATGCCTTTCTTTTACATTAAGCACTTGCTATTTTGGCATGTTTGTATTATAGATTTAAATTTGGCTTTTAAAGAGGCCTACTATTAACTCATTAGATAACTTTGGTTCCCAAGGAAAGAGATATTTATTTTAGTGTTTTTATCCTCATTAAAGCAAAGAATAATTTTAAGGCTATTACTTTCATTTTGTGTGTGTCATCATGATTTTTCAGTGTCTGCAGCAAAAGTTTATTTAAATACTTTTTTACTTTCTAAACAGGGCAGCTTTGAAAAAAATAATATGGAATATGATCAGGCTACAAAACAACAGTAGAGGCACAGAGCACACTTAGCAATGCTTCTCAGTACATATTATTTCAAGTTTATTTCATAAGGAAAAAAAATCAAATCACTTAGAAATGTGACCCCTGAAGTACAATGTTCTCTCTTTACTACAAAGGCCAAAGAAAATAGTCAAAATGTTAAGCTACTGCTATGATAAATACTTCATGAAAAATGAAGACTCCTCACAGAATTCATCACCCATCCTGAAATTTTGCAATCCTGACAGCATGAACGGTAATCCTTGCCAAATGATCCTGTCTCAGTGTTAAGTCAGGCTAACTAGAGAATTGATCATTCTTTTTCCCTATGCAAGGATCACTTTTTTTCAGTGCAAAGAAAAACAAAACAGCCTTTCAAAATTTTAGCATGTTAAATGTTCAAAACAGTGACCTGATTCATCTATAATACATCTAATACATATTTACATCCTGTACAAATTTTACACTTTCTCCAATTAGGCACAAAGTTGATTTGTCAAACTCAATAGCAAATGAAAGAAAAAAAGTGTTTAAAGGAGGAGCTTGAAATACATTAAGCCATTTATCGTAAGCTAGTTTGCTTGGGAAGGTTTGCTCCCATTAGGATTCCAGGGGTTAGAGTTGATGGACCTTTCATCTGCATGCTTGAACCAACCATCGTTGGGAAACTTCGATTCCTTCTAATGCCAGTGTTCAACTGAATGCTTCCAATAGCAGTTGTCACAGCAGTTGGGCAACCCAAAGGCAAACTCTCAGGCAGCAGGCCTCCAGGCTTTTGTGTTCCACAGAAAAGAGGTCCTTGTTCATCAGTTAATTTAAGAGCTTGTGTTTGCCCTGAACTTACTACCTTGGCAATTCCAAACCTTTTTACTTTGTCTACTAGGTTAAGGTTGGAGACAGACACATCAGTCTGACTCTCACTGTTTCTGATGTTCTTTTTGTCCCTTACTTCCTTCAGAATTGAACTAGCTGGTTTGGAAGCCAGGAAGTTGTCATAAGGAGGACTGGAACATTTGAACTCAAAAAATGGTGGGGAAGAAGGAGGTGTCTGCATAGGTGAGTTTGGAGGAGTGGAAGGAATGGCAGCCATTCTTGGAGAATATGTGCTCAGAAGAGTGCTCCTGCCCACTCTGTCCCAACTTTGTGGGTTATACACTGCTGCTGATATCCCACGTTCCTTGAGTAGCCATACAAGTCCTAAGGAGGTACTCATTGTAGTTGTGGATTCACGAACGTTAGTGAAGGATTCTACCAAACTCAGGCGTCGAGGAGTACATGGGGTAGCCACTGGAGTGCCTTTCAAATTGCCAACACTGCTACAAGCTGGAGTAGGTGCTGAATTAAGGCTAAGGAAAAAGCAAAACCTAAGTTAATGTCTTTGCAGATATTAATATTAATGCACAGTATGGAAAAATTGTATTACTAACACTAGGCCTATGACTGCAGGCTTTTGAGACCATGTTTATCTCATATTACTTAATTAATAACTTCTCAATAGCCATTTTCAGGCACACTTTGAATTCAATTCACTCTCCTATCAAGTTCTTTGAACTCTTTTTGGCTAATAGGAAAAGATGGATATGATAAACATATCACAGGTATAGCAAATAATTAAGTCTGAATCAGTTTCTGCTTCACAATAATTAACTAATGAGGCACATGTAAGCACAACTTACCAGCTGAAATAAAAATAATGTTTAAAGAAAATTTCACAGAAGATAAAATTATAGTATCAAAAAGGGTTTTAAATATAAGTTCCATGCAAATAGGCCACATCCATAGTATGATCCTAAAAAGTACAATTTAATCTTTTGTGCACATGACTGAGCACTGTTAATATAGCAAAGTATAGACTATAATTGCACACATTTTATCTCAGTGTGGCCGATAACATACTACATGAAGAATGGACATATTCCTTTGTGAATAATAACCATCCAACTTTTTCTTAATCAACTCAAGACATTCTCAATAACATTGCCACTTCCTTTTCCTCACAACAGCAAATTTGTGAGATGGCTTGGCTCAAGAGAAAGTGAGGTCACAGGGTAAATATTTAAGGAGACATGTAAGGAAATTTAATATTTATTTCTACAAAGTTCATTTATTTCATTAGCTTATTTAACACATAATTTAAAAAAATATAAGCCTGAATATAAAGATGAAAAGGGCTGAATTATGTTTTGATGTCTATAAATTTAAAAAAGAACTGTTTTTTAGTCTTAAAAGTTATGAAGTTGCTCTATTTTTTAATATATGTTATATAACGTTGAGAATGATTTTCTCCACATATAATAAAAGCAAAGTTCATGTTATGGTGAGTCTAAAATTGTCGTGCTTAGTGGGCATTCATCTCAAATCAGAGCCAACTTCTTTACTTCTTATTTTTTAAAAACAAATTCATGCAGTAAGTCAGAAAATGCCAACCAGAAATAAGTTCTATTAAATAATGCAAAACACACAATGCACACCTTAAGTTGCATGCAGGTTATCTAGAGACTTGTTTTATTGTTCCAGTTGCAACCATTTGTTTTCCTTTCTCCACACTCTTGATTTATTTGTCTTTCAAGTATAGTATAATAAGATTTCTATCATCAGTACATTCCAATAACAGTGATGACAAGAGCAACACAGTCTATGGAGATTCTCAGTCATCAAAAGTCCCAAAGATACTTTTTCAAAAGGTATCTGGACTTTCTGTGTTTTCTCTTGAAGACGTTTCACTTCTCATCCAAGAAACATCTTCAGTGCTCAGCATTCAGTCAGAATTGAAGATGCTTCTTGAATGAGAAGTGAAATGTCTTCAAGAGAAAAAAAAACACAGAAACTCCAGTTACTTTTTGAAAAAGTGCCTTTGGGATAACAGCAATTCTTCTCTGGCACAGAATGAAATATAAACCTTTCTAATATCTTAATGGTTACAAATCATGTAATCCTTCAGAATAGATACAATGCAAAAGAAAAGAAGTCAGATTCTGCCTATCCAATAAGTTCCAAATGGGGCCGTATCTCAAATTTAACAAAACAAAAATCCAATTGAATTGAAACTTTTTGATATTAAGTCCACTGGTGAGCATTTATCTTGGACAATAAATAATTGATAGATGGACCCAGAAACAGATGATAGATAGATAGATAGATAGATAGATAGATAGATAGATAGATAGATAGATAGATAGAGAGGCAGTTTTTTTGTACAAAAACATTTAAGTTATTAGCCTGTGCAAAACTCCCTACAAATAAAAAACTGTTTGAATAACAGTGGCAGATAATATAATTCACCATTATTGTGGCCCAAATGGAGGCAGATACTCAAGATATAGATAAATTAACCCTTATGTAAGTTAAACGGAGATTTCTATGTGAAAGTATTCCCAATTTTTGTTAAGTTACTTACAATATGTGGCTAATATTTGACAGGATAAAATGTTCTGTGCATATCCAATTTTTAAACCACTATAAATGACTTGCTTCAATACCTTTTTGATGATTTCTGGCAGCAAGAATCTTCCTAATTCATAACAAGTTATGTATAAAAATTGGGCTGCTATATTTAGGTGTAAAATTATCACTTTTATCAGTTGGCTTCATGAGGGCAGAGAAAAACATCTAAACATGGGGACATAGTATACATATCAGCAGAATTCTTGGCTCTGTTAGCATCTACAATCTAGGAATCGAGATTATAAACTAATCTAGCTCATTAACAGTAAGTCTGACAGCTTCCATTGAAAAAGCAGTTCTGTGTATTCCAATTAAAAACTAATTTTAATTGCATTTTAAAATAGCAAAGGATTACAAGATGCCCACAGGCAAGTTGTAACACAGGCACAGATATGTACATGTTTACACTTTGGACTAAACCGTAAGTTTATAATTTGGGGGAGGGACACTGATGTTAAATCCAACTATTATGGTTTAGTCTTATATAATATCAAATTATAATGGCTTATGCAGCATACAAATAGTCCTAGACTTACAATCTTTCGTTTAGCGACTGTTTGAAGTTATAATGGCAATGAAAAAAGTGACTTATGACTATTTTTCAGACTTACAACCACTTCAGCTGTCCCACAATCATGTAAACAAAATTCGGATATTTAGCAACTAGCATTTATTTATGATGGTTGCAGTGTCCCTGAGTCGTGTGATCACCTTTTGTGACCCTCGATAGGCAAAGTCAATGGGGAAGCCAGATTCATTTAACAACAACGTGACTATTCATTTAACAACTGTGGCAAGTTATTCACTTAACAACTGTGGCAAGAAAAATCGTAAAAGGGGGCAAAACTCACTTGTCTTGTTTAGCAATGGAAATTTTGAACTCAATTTTGGTTGTAAGTCAAGGACTCTCCGTAATATGGTACAAAAAATAAATAAATCCTGGCTTAATATTGTACAGGAGTATCAAGAACTGTGTTACAGAATACACTGTCCATAAAAATAAAACTCCTAAGTGCTGGGCTTATAAAAAACACTAGTCTTTGAATGGCAGCATTTATAGAAGGCTGTAGCTGTGACACTGGGATGGTTTTGAGTTTCATCATGATGTTTTAGTCATGGCTGGGTGGAGGGTTCAAGTCATCTGTAATCTGTAATGATATATCTGAGGAAGTTTTCAAAACAATGTGATGGGTCATGGGAACTGGCATTGGGGCTGAATTGGTTTTGTGAGTCGCAGAGTATGCAGAACTTGGGTGACAAAAACAAAGCCACCACACTGCACATTTCCCTTTGTTAATTCTTGTCAGATAATTCCAATTGTAGTTATCAATACAATCAAGTCTCATGGCTGAGATTTCTGAAAGGATGTTTCTTTTATTTGGTTCTCCTGTGGGAACAGTGGTAAAGGTATTCACTGCACCAGTGTATTTGGAGAAAAGCAGAAAAGGGAAGCAGTTTTCTTTATACCAGATACTCTCAAAATAGAAAAGTATAATTGTTTTGTTATATTGTGGAAAATCAGACTATGCTAAGTCATAATAAATGATATACCATTGTGAAATATGGCTAGATATGATGATGTATGGATCGGTGACATACAATAAATAAAATTAAAAGATCTTAGATTCTATGGGTACATATATATCTGAGAGCATGAATTGTAACTGTCACCCAGTTTTCATCTTGCCTTTAGGTTCTACTGTTCCTGAAGCAGGCTTTTGTATACAAAGTGACCCCCCTCCACTACTAGCAAGTCCTGGTAGAAATAAAAAGCTTTTATTCTTTGAGACTGCAGTCCAAGTATGTGTATTCAAAGGTAATAGGCCTGAGCAACTACTGAAATTACTACTCAACCCAGACATAAAAAGACCCCATGTTGAGTCAAGTTCAACATAAATTTTCAAATATCTTATGAATAAGGTAGTACAGGACGTCCCTGACTTATAGCCCCTACTGGGACCAAAATTTATGTGATGTTGATAAGTGATGCAGTAATAAAGTGCAACTTCATAAGACTGCATTGCAACAGCAATGCCAACAACTCCCAATTGCCATCATTAACCAAATTCCACCATTTCTTTATTATTATAATTCACTGTTGAATGTGTTTATTTCCAAGTTTCAGCTGTTGTTCCATTTTATCTCTCTCTCTCTCTCTCTCTCTCTCAAATGAACTTTTCAAGGTTTCTCAAATAATAATTGTACACAAATATGTCATTAAGAAATCATGCATGGATGGAGAACCAATCTGAGGCTCATAAATTTTCTGTTTCAGAGTATTTACTAAAAATTCAACAGCTGTACTTTTAATCAGCGTGTGTAAATGTTTCCCAGTTGAACGTCACCTTAATATACCAGTATTTCTTGCAATCCTTCCCATAATAACAAAAATCTCTAAGCTAATTTAAAATTTAAACTCTTTGGTGCTAGATTAATGCTCAGCTTTCTAAAATGCCAAATGCATCAATACTGCTACATAAAGACTATTGTAGTAAGTATTCCTAACCTGGTTCACTATGAATAATCCTCAACTTACAATTGTTTGTTCAACAATTGTTCAAAATTATAATAGCACTTAACAAAGGGATTTACAATCCTGTCCAGAGTTATAGCCTTGCAGCATCCACATGGTCACATGAACAAAATTTGGGCGCTTGACAATTCCCCCGCTCTTACGACTACCACAGGAATGCTGCAGGAGCTCTCCACCTATCTTCTCTGCTCTGCTTCTTGCTCTGCTGGGTTCCAAATGCTCCACCCCATCCTCTGTCACAACTCAATCCATTTAGTTTTTCCATAGATCTTCTTTAGGAAGCAGCCAATTCTTCAGACAACCTTTTTACACAGAGGTCATGTGGCATTGTCCTAGAAACAGGCGCCAATAAATTGTGACCACTCCCAAATTGTACCCACTTCCTGGACAGCCCAATGCCATGTATGATATGGAGAGGTGCTGCAGTGAGGGCCTGGACAAGGCCACCCAGAGCTTTCCCCACTACTGAGGCACCCCATACTCTGCTTAGTGACCACAATGGAAAGAGCAGGGATTGTGGCAGGCATCACGTGAGGTGATCATGTAGGCACTTTGCTTAATGACCTCTACGATTTACAATTGCAATGGGCACACTCCACTACAGTTGTAAGCCAAACATACCTGCAAATATTAAGGAAGATATTACATATTCTCCTGGTCGATAACAGTCCTTTTACAAATATACAATGATGGAGGAGGAGGAGGAGGAGGAGGAGGAGGAGGAGGAGGAGGAGGAGGAGGAGGAGGAGGAGGAGGAGGAGGAGGAGGAGGAGGAGGAGGAAGAAAGAAGAAATGTCCAGAATATTTACTAAAGAAAGAAAGAAAACAAAGACCTTCCTTTATATCCCCAATTATTGTTAGATTCTATAAAATCAGCACTATGAAATTTTTGTTAGGTCACTTCATGTTAAATGTTAAAATGGAAAGGGGGAGAATAAGATTGATAAGAAGTCTTCGAGTTAGCTGATGCCACGAACACTAGCATTCCTCTTATGAGACTCCGCCAGCATAGAGGTGCTGACTGTGCTGCTCACCCCCTCTCACGCTGGTCATACTGTGTGCCCTACATCTCCTCTCAGCATAAGGTGACATAAAGCTGTTTCATCGTCTTCCTCACAAGACCTGTGAAGAAGCATCATTCATAGTTTAAGGAGATTCTCTTCTCCAGCAGTTGCATGATAATACTGTGGTTCTAATCAATAATACAGAAATAATAATAATAATACAGATGACCATCAGCTACAAACCTATCAGAGTATAAAAATGAATTAAAATTAGTAATACATCTCCATTTAATAGAGAACATTGCATGAAACATGCTTCGGTTTTAATAAACAGGACAAAAGTAAGGAGCCCAAGTCTGCATTCAGGTGTTGTTCTCCTAGCCTTCCACTTATATCCTCTCCACATGCTGAGATTTTGCTGCTTCCATTTAGCAGAACTAGCTAAATTTGGGAATGGGGGGTTAAAGGATATGAAGGGAGTTTATTGTTGGGAACAGCTGCCCAGGGTCATCTTATAGGGAAAATGGGTAGCATAAAAATTTAATAAATAAAAACATTTCTGCTCCCATCTTCATTTTTAACTCCCCTGAAAGGTGAAAAAAAAAAATAGCAAAACATTTCAACACACCCCTTTCATGCTATTACAGCATCATCTGATGCCTCCTGTGGCATTAAGAAGGTCAGAGGGACTGGTGCATCATCCCATTTTCATCAAGTACCACTCACAAGCTCCTTTATGGAGTATAAGGGACACTGCTTTTACATTTTTTTAAAATAGTTTTTTGGTCTGAACTGTGAAAATTCTTCATTAGCTTCATTTCATTATACTGATATGTAGTAATCCCATAGTACTGGAGATTGCATTTTTGTTTTAAAATATACCCATTGGCCTTACTGCTGTTTCTAAGTGCTAAAGAGGAAGAATGGAAGAAAGGTGAACCAATCAAGCCCTCTCTTTGGGTCTATAGCACAAGATTAGTGAGATAATCTGAGCAGCAAAGTAGGAAGGGGTCATGATTCTCTTCTATTCTAAAAAGTATAACAAAAAGCAGTATCTGATTGGTCCGGTTCCTCATACTGTATGTACGCAGTGAAGTGAGCCATTCTAACATGCATCAGGAAGAGTGTTTGGAGACGTTGCAATTTTTGTTCTGCAAATAGGGGTATGAGGCAGCAGGGAGGCAGCTAGAAAAGAAGAAGTAACAGAAGCAGCAAGAGAGTGTGAACAAGAGTGGGAAAGAGGCATTTTCTATTACTCTGCCAATGAGAATTGCAATGATATAGGAATACTTTTTAAAAAATGTTTTGGTTAGAATATCATGGATTAAAAGAGTGGCATCCTAATTTTTTTACTTGTACCGGGTATACATCAACTAAAACAAGCTGACAGATTCTGGATGGCTATATACATGTAAGTTAAATTGAGACAGTGTCAAACACAATTGTTAAACACATCTTGTTTATTTAACACTTAACATTTCTGCAATTTTAGAAACTAAAACACCTCTCTGAAAAATCTTACCTTGGTGTGACTCGTGTGAGCTCGTCGGAAGGATGTAGAATACGGCAAGTGGTAAACGTAAATGTGGAGTTGGTTTGTGACATGCACTTCCCAGGATGATGTACTACATTAAAAAGAGAGAAAAATTATTTGCATTTATATATTAAAAGAAGAACTTTTATATATTCAGACTAGCAGATAGAAAAGTGATATGATACTTTACTTGTGATCTGTGCAATAAATATCTGACATTTCTAAAACATTTTATTTTCTAGCTCCTCTGATATACTGTATTAATATCTGTCAGAAAAATCTTGTTAACTTGCCACATCTTTTGTTTTACAGGGACAGTCCTCACTGTAAGGACTCTCAGCAGATACGAATGTTTTAGGGTGGCCACTAACTGGAAATATTATTTCCTACTTATTACTCTGGTATGGTAATTTTCAATAGTAGAACATATCGCTTAGGAAAGTCAACAATGTAGTTATTTATCATGCTAAATTGTCCCAGTTCTAAACAATTTAAATGCTACCCATTTGATCTTATTGCTGCATTATTAGAAGTATTGAATGGGGACATAGAAGTTATAAATGCTAATTCTGTAAAAAGTAAATATAATATCTTAATCTATTAGCAGGTTTATTCCATGGGCCATATATAATTGACTCTTAATAATAATGTGCAATACATTGATCCAAGCAAATGTATCTCATCACTTTGATTCAGTAACAGACCCAGAGACACTAAAAAAAAATAGGATACAAAAATAATAGTGCATACAATGCTGCTTAAATATTTGTGAATCTTTTTGAATTTTTAATATTTCTGCTAAATATGATCTAAAACATAATCAGTTTTCTAGGCAAGCCCTAAAAATAAGTAAAGAGAACCCAATTAACAAGTGGGTCAAAAACATACTTGTTCATCAATTTATTGAGGAAAATGATCCAAAGCTATATATTTGTATGTGGCAAAACTATGTGAACTTTTCTTTTCAGTAACTGGTGTCTTGTTCTTGGGTGATGTTAACATCAATTAAATGTTTCTGATAACTGTTGATCAGCTTGCAGGACTTTAATATTAGCTTAAAATTAGGGTTGTTGGTGGGCTTCCTTACATGAACTGCCCACTTCTTTAATCTGATCATTCCAAAATACTAACTTTCCTGTTTTAACCATTCTTTGGTTAAATAATTTATCTATTTGAGGTTATGGTTTTGCTATATATCTATTTCTCTTGAGTTTATGGGCAGATATTTTCTGTAGAATTTGCTAGTACAATTCAGAATTTATAGTTGCATCAATGGTGACAAAACATCCTTATCCAGAGGCAGCAAAATAGGCATAAATTATGATATTACTTTATGATTTCACAGATGGGTTAAAGTTCTTATGTCAGAATGCAGGATTTGCCTTTTTCCAAAGATAATGCTGGAGGCTATTCTTCCAATAGCCTTCAGGCTTATCCACATTTTTTTTTTTTTTTGCAAACTATAGATGAGCAGCAATGATCTTTTTTGAAGAGTAGTGGCCTTCTCCTTGCAACAGTGCAATGCATACTCTTTTTTGAAGAGTAGTGGCCTTCTCCTTGCAACAGTGCAATGCACACTATTGCTGTTCAATGTTCTCCTTATGCTGTTCTCATCAACACTGACATTCTCAGTGTAAGAGAAAACTTATGTTCCTTAGATATTACCCTGGGGTCTTTGTGACCTCTTAGAATATTTCATACCTTTTCTTTTATATGATCTTGGTTGCCAAACCATCCCTGGGGACGGCAACTATAGGGCTGAATTGCTTCATTTGTACACAATCTGCCTGACAGTGGACTGGTAGAGTTTAAAACCTTTAGAAATAGTATTATAATCTTTTCTAACCTGGTGAACATTAATAATTGTTTTTCAGAGGTCCTTAGATATCTCCTTTGTTCAAGTTATGACACACTTCCAAACATCTGTTATGAAAGTCAGATTTTAATAGTGAATATCCAGAATTCTCTTCTTTAAATAAGGCAGGACTTCTGACACTCATACCTGATTATCATCTCTTTGATTGAAAGAGCTGACTATAATTTCCCCTTCAAATGAATTGATAATCTAGAGGTTCATATACCTTTGCCATATACAAATAAGTAGCTTTGGATCACTTTTTATGTATTATTTTTGTGTCCCGCATAATTTTTATGGATCCACTACTGCCCATCTGCAGCATTTCCCACCTCCATCTGAAATGCAAACAAAACACCTGCTGCTGAACCAGATAGCAATTAAATCAATCTGAATAGCTGAATATAAGATAAATAACTTACGTTTGTGGTATTGCAACAAAACAGGTTATAGAACCATAAAAAACCCAATATTTGTATTTATAAATTGCTATAGGGTGCAACTGTGGAATGCAAAGTTAAACAGACCATAATGTATGTCATCTTAAACAAGTCACCTTCTCAATTTTAAAATTCTATATATTCTCATGAGAGGTGCTGAAAAGAATATGGTGTAATTCATTATGTTCTTGAAAATCATCTCTACAACGCTTGGAAATCATCCAAAAGAGCATAGAAAGTAGTTTAGAAGACAACCGATACTCAGTAAAGATCTATCCTTTTCTGCCAACATGTGTTCTTCTTTGTGAAACTTTTGGCAGAGCCAAGTATCTTGTTGAATGCCAGAAATCTTCCTTTTCACAGGAATATATTTTGGATTCATGCTGTGCTTTCTTACAACAACTGAGTGATTCATGCAAGCCTGTAAAGGTAGCTCTCAACTTAAAATTATTTATCTAACAACTGTTGCAGGCATGATGATGCTGAAAAAATTACTTATGACCACTCTTTCTAGTTATGACTATTGCAGTGTCCCCATATGATTAAAATTCAGGAGTTTGGCAACTGGCATGTATTTTCAAAGTTATTTATTTATATCCTGCCTTTATTATTTTTACAAATAATTCAAGGCAGAGATCATCTCCAACATACCTTCCTCAACCTATTTTCTTCATAACAACAACACTGTGAGTGGGTTGGGTTGAGAGATAGTGATGGCCCAAATTCACCCAGCTGGCTTTCAGGCAGGACTTGAACTCATGGCCTCTTAATTTGGGATGTGATCATTATTTGAAACCTTCCCAGGGTGCTTCCGACAAGCAAAATCAATGGGGAAAGCAGGATTCATTTTACAACCATATGATTCACTTAATAACCATATGATTGGCTTAATAACCATGGCAAAAAAAGAGATAACCCTGGTGGCTAACAATTATCAAGCCCCTTATAACAATAGTGAAAATAAAAACTGCCAATTATCACACTCCAGCCAAAGTGCCATGATAATCCTAAGTATATCACACCACAGGTGCTGGGTTCAACTCCCATCCTGGCCCTGCATTTAGGGGACCAGCTCGGTGTTCACTGCCTTCTAAAAGGCTATGAAGGTAGGAGCCCTCTGGACGAAGGCTATTCCATACAGCAGGCACCACTCCAGAGAAGCTCTTTCATGGGGATTTAAACTATTTCAAATTAGTAATTATAGCCTCAGTTACCATTTTTTAGTATTCTCCAGATTAAACTACATTTGATATTAAAACACTTCATGGTGTACATCGCAACTGATTACCTAATTATTTACAAATATGTTAGCCTGTCTTCTGAGATTGAACATCAAAACAATTCCACTGACAATCTATTTGAAGCATAGCAGGGCGCAAGGAATGAAAGCATTCCATCCCATTGGCTCGTCTGACACATAGTTTCGTTAACTTCATAAAACTTCTTTATTTTTCCAGGCTCTTTAACTTGGGCCATATGATCAATTTTATCTATTCAGGTAATTCATAGAGTTATAACTAATTGCTTAGTGACCATTCAAAATTTTAAAAAGACTTATCTTGGAGCTATTTATGACACATATCTGAAGTTACAATGGTCAGCCCCTCATAATCAATGTAACTGTACATCAGCATGCAGCAACAGAGCTACATTTACAGCCCTTTGCAGTGTCCCATGATCATGCAATGTGTTTTACAATGGTTTTGCTGACAAACTGCATCTACTTCCAGTTTTTGGCAAAACTGCGCTCATAGCAAATCATTGTTTCACTTAACAATCATAGTGTTTACTTAATGATGTTGCAAAAAAAGTTGTAAAATCAGATTAGTCATGCGACTGATCTATTTACGACTATGACTTAAGAGCATAATGCACAGGTTCTATTACAGTTATAAGTCGAGGAGTATCGGTATTATTATTTCATATTGTTTTTATTGCTACCAACTGATATATATCATTCCTGCATATTATATTGCTTTAAAGTTCTAATTTATTTCAGTGTAATTAGTATAATTTTAATTAGTGCAAATCTCTAAAAAAAAAACCAAAAGCACTGCATACAGTAAGGATAACGTACAACTACTGTACTACTGTATACAATAAAACAAAGTGGATATAAGAAAAAATAAGGACAGATTCTGACCCTATCAAAAACACTTATGAGTATTGGGAAATGAAGGATTATTAAGGAAAATGTATGTTCCTGCGTAAATTGCAAGCAGACACAAAAAATGAAAAGCACCTGCTGACCTCTTGAGATCATAGAACTAGAGCAAGAAAGCAAATATGGGAAGAAACCATGTTTTTGTCAACATTACTCTTTCTGTTTTCAGTATCATAGATTGCTTATTGCCAATTTTTTCACTTCTAACATATGACATACTTTATGGATATCCCTTGGTTGCAAAGCAATTCACAAACTGAAAAGACCATGCATCCATTAACAGCCATAGAAGCAATTGAGAATTAAGTACAATTGCAAAGTCATCATGATTGCAGATGAGTTAAAAAAACTTTCAATATGTTATCATGATTTAACATGTACAAAAAACATATCTGTGATTGTTTAGCCTCTTCTGACGTGACTACATTCTAAAATATTGCTTATCCATGATAGGATATATACAATAATCTGATATCTTATCACAAAATATTTTTAAATTTACAGAAAGGCTGAGAAAAATACATGCTTATTGTGGCTATATTTCCTGTAAAACGGTAGCAAAATAAATATATAATGAAGATAATTATGTAAAAAGAGTTATTGCATATGAAATAGGGAGATTTTTTTTAAAGAGAAAAGTATTAATAAAATGAGGTGGCTCAAAATAAAAAAAAAAAAATCATTCCATTCCTGTAAGCTACTTTCAGATATTCTGCATTTTGCAATGATGACTAATACCCTAACAGCATCAATGTTCAAAAATGATACTGTTGCTTCAAGGGTTAGTGCAAACAATGCATTTAATTGATATTTAAGGGTTATGGCAATCATGATTCCCTGTGCAAGTGTAACCAGGTTAAAATATTTGAGAAAATCTCAAATAATCAATAATGGAAAAAGATTATATGGAGAGAAAAGCTAAATTTAAAAGAAAAAAAGCAGCTCAGTGTTAGTTGACAAATGATAGCAGAATAAAGGAGTATGAACATTTTAGATTAAACAGTTATTCAAAGAATGGATAAAGGTTTTCACCTATTTCCATGTCTGCATTACCCATTTCATAAAAACACTGATTTTCTTTCACTAAGGAATTAAATTAGCAGAAACCTGTTGCAGTAAGCGAAGTAGACCCAGCTCATTATTATTAATATACAAGATAGGAAAAGGCTGCTAAAAGTAGCAATTGAGCCTAGTGGGTGAGCTTTCTTGACTATGAAAGAGAAATATTCTTTTAACATTTAGAAAGACTAATCCTGCAAAGATACCACTCAGAGAAACCTGGACAGCATCCTCCAGTAATCAGCTTTTCATATGGCTGCAGTATTCTCTGTCAGGAAACCGTGAGCTGCCTGTAAGTGATCAGTATCTCAAACAATTCAAAAATGAAAAGAATGTCAGGTTTTAATTCCAATACAATCTCTAACAATACTCAACAGTTCTTTGGTCCAACATATAAAAAAGGATAATATTGTGATCGACAATGAGGTTTTGCTATTATTTATTTTGAAAAAGAAAACTAAATATATGTTGAAAGGACTGTCCTTTTCTGCAGCCAACAAATGATTTCTCAAATTACTTTCTTTTGCAGAAAATCACAGTGCTATTAAATAAAATAAAATGATCTCTTCTTTCATTCACATTCCAAAGATTTACTGAAGTTACCAAATACAATTATAGCAAATAAATTTTGTTCTAGATTTCAGTAAGAATTTCCCATTCCATAACTGCATTTTCATAAGAGTCTCAATTCTATGTATAAAGTGTATGTACAATGCAAAAAGCCAAAAGAACACCTATGAAAATCATTTTCATTATTACATTTATGGAAATACAGGTCAAAATATAGCTTTTGAATGGTAACCAATCAGAATTAGGAACATGTTATATCCAGTGTTGAAAAATATTTCACTCTAGATTATTTTTTTAAAGAAAAAACTGGCATCTTTTCAATTACCAAACATAGGAATCCACAGCCATGACAAAAAGTGCTGTCCGGCATATAAACATATCCTTTCATATATGGGTCTCAATATTGGATCCAAGTGCAAAAGTCACAGGTTATATGTTATACTGTGGATTCATAATTTGTCTTTTTATCCTTTTGCAGTCAGCTATACCACCAACGGAAAATAAACATAGTTCTCTATTTAATGTATCAGCAGATTTTTCAAACAGGACATCTGAACATGGGCTAATGTAAATCAGACGACAGAATGATGCAGAAGTTGAAATGCTGCAATATTTTAAATTCTATCAGTTAATTCAAATAGCATACAGTATTACCTCAATTCCCAAGTCATCAAGCACTTATGCAGGTAATTGTCCATGTATTGGACTTTATAGATCACACTGTAAAATCCCAATCAAAACTGGGAGTTTTTTTTCTAAGCCATAAAGCCTACAGATCTGCTGAGCAAAGAAACATTTCTCATTCTGTTTCATTTCTGTTTAGGCCTTGTAGAGAAAACTTCAACCTGCTTTTGCATAATCTGCACCTGCTAGATGACTTCAAAGGAATTATGTCTGGCAGCACAAAGAGGTAGCTTGCTACTGAATTAAGAATAAAAAATATGGCTTCCTGAATCCAAGTATATACTTACCTTCTGTCCTATAAATCCCCAAATTTGTAAAGTGCTGGATTTCAGTGCCCTCAAAATACCGAGACGTTGGAAAATAACTACTTCTAGAAAGCTCATTTGAAAAAGCTTAAAAACAATATATACATTTGATCTCTATATCTTTAGCAATCACTCTTTTGTCATCAATGTGCAAAGTGTTCAACTGTGCTGCCTTTTCATTTGCTACATTTGCTAAAATTAAGGCAATAACCTGGACCACATGATTTCTTGTGAATTCTGGCAACACAATTATCCTATTCTGTATGCTAACCTTGCTTAGCATACAGAATATAAATTCTAACTACTTTAGAAAAAATATATAAAAGTAGTTCTCAGACAGATCCCAAAAGTCAGAGTAATTGGCAGAAAAAAAAATATAATGATTCCATTGTCTGGTCTTATTTTTTCCGCAAAACAGTTCATAGCTAGATATTAGCAAGGAAAAACTGACATATAAAGTCTTAGCAGTTTACAATTAATACCAGTAGAAGTTTTGTATCAGGATTTTGGATATTTCTTTTTTAACAGCAAGCCTTCTAGCCTCAGTCTTCCCTCCAGTTATCAAACATTAAAAAACTTACACCATTTAAGTCAATATGTAATTTCATCCTAAGAATCAAAGTGGCTGATTTCAAGGAATTCCTATTATTACAGATAACAATGCTGGAATTCTGCCACTTACTCTCATTACTCTGTTTTTAGATAAATATTAAATAACAATTTTAGAATATAAGCATTACAACACACAAAATACTAAAATAATGGCAATCTGCAAAACTGTAACCTCCTCATACAAACTCAGAACCAAAAGAATTGGCTTCTTTTTTTGAGAACCCCAATGAATTGCATCCTTTTAGCAGCCTTCTCTCATCAAACTAAAGAAGAAAATAGGGATCATGTACTTCTTTTGACTTGAAAAAAAACCCCACCAGTAATAGTTAGAAATCACAGTTCAGAAACTGGCTAATGTTAATTCTTGTGTGCATTGTCATGAAGAAGTTAAACATGAAGCAACATTATGGATGCTGCTCTGGAGAGATGTGAGAATGGCCCAATTATCAATATCCTGCAAACATGGCAGTTGTGCTGGACTTAATGAGGTTCCCTCACCAGACCCCTCATCATCGTCAGTTGCAGGTTCCTGTATCTCCTCTGGGAAAGCCTGAGAGCGACTTGGGTAATTCTTGCTGTCTGAAACAGTCACTTGTGCCTGAGACCTCTCACCTGAGGTCTCTGTGTGCTGAATCGGTGTCGAGGTAGTTAAGCCTTTGTATGTAATTTCACCTGATTCATCTTCTTCAAAATCATTAAGGCAATACACTTCATCCAGATCAAGATCAAGAGTACGGAAGCCCTTAGTAACAACCCCAGGCCTTGGATCTAGGATGCCTCCTAGATGAGGCTGAGCAAGCTGTTGCCAATGATGCAGTGTGGCAGAACCTTGGAAAACAATAGAACAAACAGGTCAGTATGGAGATTTGAATTATGGACAGACTGTTTATAATGCTCATTATATGTAGTTACACCTTAATTGCTGATGAAGTGTCACAACTGCTTCAAACTGTTCTGCAAGAAATCATCATAGTGGGAAACTTCATAAAAAAGTAGCTTCAGTTGCAAGTATCAAATATTGTTTTAGATCACTTTTGTTACTAGGGATAAAGTAGAAGTAATGTTTTTGAGAAGTCAGCTTGGTGTACTAGTTAAGGTACCAGGCTAGAAACCAGCGGACTGTGAGTTCTAGTTCTGCTATAAGCACAAAGCTAGCTGGGTGAGCTTGATCCAATCACTCTCTCTCAGCTCTAGCAAGCAGAGAATTGTAATCCACTTTTGAAATCTTGCCCAAAAAAACTGCAGGGATTTGTCCAGGCAATCACCAGGAGTCAGGACCGATTTGAACGCATAAATTTGCTCCCTCGGACCAAACTCACACTGCATCCTTTATTTGTTTGCGTATTTAATTTTTATGGCCCCCATCTCAATCAATGACTCTGATATGTTGACTAAGAAATATATCCAATTTACTTCAATGTAATAAAAAATGATTATCAACCCTACATAGAAAGATACTGACTAATTCTCCATCCAAAGAACATGGGTTTGTGTTCAGTTTTTTAAAATTTTTAAAAACTGAACTGAATTCAAAAATGTTTTGTGATATTTCTACCATTTTAACGTAGAAAGTAGACAGGAAAGGACGCTGAAAAGTTCTATTCCTAAATGTCTAAGCTTATTTAGCTAGATAGACAGACAGACAGAAGGGGTAAAGAGTATCATTTCTTACAACTAAATAATAAAATAAAAATGTCAGTTTTACTATTTTAGAAATATTCCACCCTTATTATTTTTTATAAATAACTCAAGATAGTGAACATACCTAAAACTCCTTCCTCTTTCTATTTTCCCTACAAGAACAATCTTCTGAGGTGGATGGGGATGAGAGAGATTGTGCAATGTCCCCAGGTGACTTTCATGCCTAAGGGAGAATTAAAGCTCCCAGGATCTTAGTTTGACCACTAGATGATGAGTAATCCTGTGCCTTAACTACTAGACCAAGAGTAATATGGAATATTCTTATGAATTGGGCCTACCTCCCATTCTGATTTTACCAAATACAAAAACTGGCAAATCTAGTAGCTTATTTTTTGTTCACTCTAGACTAAAAGGCATTGACCATAGCAGCACAAAAACAGGCACTAAGCACCAGATCCACAGAAGCAGAGGTCTATTATACATGTACCGGGACACATGGTGCAGATTAAGCAGAGATATAACCTAAAATGTATGCTAGAATAAGATAGGTTAGGTTTCTCTGTTCATACTACTGGAAGATGTAACATACATTTTTTGTGTGTCTATTATCCGTCTCCTCTTCCCTCCTCTCCTCTCATTTATTCTTAAGATGTAAGAAATAACTCCATTTTCCATTATAAATTAAATAATTAAATGCAATAATAAATAATCATCTATAAATCAAATTATTTATTACTAATCTACAATTAGAAATGGTTTAATAAAAATGCTGTAATGAAATTATGTGTATTTTGAATTATATATATATTTAACAAAATAGGCAAAGTGAAAAATAGAGAACAGCTAGAAATACATTTACTGTATCAAAACTACTCCCAAATTCGCTTTGCAAATTTTATAAACATTATTTAAATTGAGCTTTTTTTTAAAAAAATGTAAGAATTCTGAAATTATCTCCTGCATAACATATACACAGTAAATTTTTAAAGATGATCAGTAACACAAAGTGCAAGAAGAAAAGGTTTCATATAGAAAGAAGCTAAAGTGAAAAATCAAGAGAAACAAAAAAAATGGAAACTGAAAGTTTATTGAAGAAAACAAATTAGATGACAGAAACCTATACAATACTAGCAATCAAGAGATGAAAGTTGATTATCTGCTATCTCTTCTCTAAAATATTTTATTTTAAATAAGCACTCTGTAAAAGCCAAAGACATTATTTATATTGATTCAATTGTGCTGGTGGAATCTTCCAATTTTGATGCAAATTCCAACAAATTGAAATAGTTTACAGATAAAAAGTAAGGTGGATTTGATAGATCCATATTATAAAATGCCAAAAATGTTAACCCCAAACCCAAAATTAAGCATTTGAGTGACATCTATTGCAACATTTTTTAGCGTGTCAATTCTTTTGAAAAAGATAATGTATGTTATCATAATCTTACATTTTAATCAATGAAATGCTGTGTGTTTCTTTGGAACAATATAAGTATGTATTACTGAAGTAATAGAGAAATCTAGCTGCAGATATATTTTTTATTCAGATGATGAAAGAAAAGCATTGATTTGAAATGACACCCTGATACTAAAAAGAAAATTTGTACATGGAGGCCTATTTCTGATGAAGCAAATGGCCTGCCAGATCAAGGCAAAGCAACTTGAGCTTTTGAATGAATGCTATCTTGAATTTTGTTGCAACAAATTAAGGACCACTTTCAGACTGTAACACTGCAATGTAGCAAGTGTTTTAGTCCTATAATGTTGAAATTCAATGCACTGTCACTGCATCATTGTTCTCCATGTCAGTGGAATTTAGGTTTACATTTCTTGCTGTTTGAATGATATAGTAATATCTATATTAATATAGGAATTCAAAATGAATCCCTAAAACTATAAATATTCTACTGAATATATTAGAAACATAGCATATATTGCTTTTTTAAAAAAGGATAATTCCTATCCTCAGAAGAGTTCAAACCAACACTGAGGAGGGCTACCTCTAAAGTAAAATGAGTACGTATTACAAAGATTTCCTCTTTCTTGCTGATGGAGAAGAGACCACAGATAGTCACAAAGGAAAATAGATAAAGGCCGAGGAGCTTTATTATCACCTTCTAAGGGCTTCACAATCTGAAGCTTCTCTGGGAGATATGAACGACTGCTGATAGATATTCCTGAATAGCCAGTAAATTCAGAAAACCCGGAGTGTGTTCTAAATGACATAATACTCTCTGTTGGAGTAATGGAACCACTATGAAATTCCCCTTTCTCTGCTAATTCTCTCAACTTTCTTTCCTGTTCTTCTTCAAAAAACCTCCTTTCTGACAGATAATTCTCCCTCCGAAGGGACAACCTTCTAAGAGCTTTTTCCAGGTCACAAGAACCTGGTGTTCCTGGCATTCCTGGTTTCTTGTTCTTCTCTTCATTTCTAAAACAAAGAGCAAACACTCATTAATATAGGTGACAAGAAGAAAGTAAGGACCCCTCCTCCCACAAAATATAAATATTTTTAAATATTTTCAGTTCAATCAATATAACTTACACTTTCAATCTGAGAAATAACTAGATAGAAGGGATACAGATGCAAACAGGAATGTCCTTTATCTTACTGAGGTTTATGATTTATACACAAGCTGCTCATTTAAAGAAAAAACTAGTATGTACCACAGAGGAAGAATATAGCTGATTTAATATAGTTTTAATAAATGCAGTATGGTACACATAAGAACTGGTCTACACAATATGTGGCCCTCCAAGCAGCCTTATGCCCATTTTTTTAAAAAAAGTAGCAAATATTGAGCCACTGCTGCCTGCCACTACAGCGTCTGCCACTCAGCTAGCCAAGGAACAGCTGACTGGCAAATATTTCTATTATTTGCAGCCCATGAGAACTTCTAAATTATCAATGTGGCCCTTTCCCCTGATGATTTTTGCAGGCCTAATGATAAATTATTATTTTTTGTAATCTTTAGTGCTACCAATAAAGTTTTTTTCCTTAATTTTCCCAAATAACAGAAATAATGAGAGTTTATATAATATAATAATTAGTTAGAAAAAAATTGTCAACCCAATAGCAGCTATTTAAAACATCATGGTATTTATTCAGAAAAAGATGCTTTGTTTAATTGACATGAAATCACTATGCGAGTTATAGTTTAATGACTCAGGAAAATTCCAAATCCATAAACTGATTCAAACAATCATCGTGCCAGAAAAATGCAGTGTGATTGTTAATTATACATCAATTACTTAAATAAAATTAAAGTTTAATTATTCAAAGTTAATTTCATATCAGCAACTAGAATTATTTGCTTGGAGTACAGGTAGTCCCCGAGTTATGAGTGGAATGGAGCCTGCCCATTCCACTCATAATTCAAAAACCTGTAGATTAAATCTTGTCGAATGGGATCACACCCTTGCTCGTTAAAACGCAGCTTGTTAACTGAACATGAGATATCTCATGGTAGGGAAGGCCACGGAGGACCTAGTGATGGAACAGGCCCCCAAGGTCTTCCCGACCCACTAAATACCACATGCTTCCTCCTCACTTCCTGCCACGCCAGATTCACCTGGAAAAGATCCTTCTCTCTTTGCCGTGGTTCCGACTGCCGCCCAGATCTGAGGCCAGGGGATGCTTCTGCAGCCCCCCAGTGGCCCGACTGGGGCTGGAAAAGGCCTCCAGAACCTGGATCGGACCGCAGGGGGGCACGGAAGTACTTTCCGGCCTCAGATCTGGGTGGCAGCGGCCTAGAAAACGTCTCTGGAGTCCGGATTGGGCCATGGGGAAGCATGGAAGCATTCCCCAGTCTCAGATCTGGGCAGCAGCAGCCTGGAAAAGGCCTCCAGAGCCCAGATCCAGCCTCTAGAGGCACGTGGAAGCGTCCTCCGGCTTCAATTCCATTCTCTGTTACAGCAAACAGAGGCCTAAAGTACCATGAGATTACGTGAGATCAGTAGCGTGAGATCTTGTTCCACTAATCTCACATGATCTTGTGTTACTTTAGGTCTCCATTCTCTGCGAATGCATTAAAGGCCTGGAGCAGCCAAGAAAGCGAAGGATCTCGATCTTCTCAGAGTGATTATTGAAGGCCTGGTGCCTAGGAAGACCTGGTGCGGGAGTGAGGAGGGAGGAAATAACCAGGGTGAATGTTGCAGAGCCACTGCGGTTGCTCGTAAGGGCGAATGACTGCCGGTGTGCTGCAATATTCGTACCTTCGGCATTTGCTCGTAAGCACTAGGGGGCGCTCATCACATAACTTTGAACAAGTGTTAAGTGAACACTCGTAACTTGGGGATTACCTGTACATTACTCTGATGATTTATAAGTCAAATATAGTTAAGGAAGAACATATGTCTATATCTTTAAAGTATCTGATAATTTAAAATAAACAGAATTAATCTTAAATTACAACAATATGAAAAAAGATAAGTACAGCTTGAATTAAAATTAGATTCCTTCTAAATATAGAGATAATGTTGTGTAGTGCACTGATTTAACCAATGAATATAATAGCAGGAAGGTGGAAGAAAATAATTAGGACAAAACTGTTTTCGTTAAGAAGATACATTTTAAAATTAGCTATGCATTACTAACCTAGAGTCAGTGGATTCAGTTTCTAGGATGATACTATTCGTCTTATTGTCTAGCTCAATATTGGAAATGTCTCCTCCATAGAAACTAGATCGTGGTGTGCTGACACAGCTAGAAATGACTGAATTCATTGTGGAAGACTGGTTAGATCCTGGGATGTTCATTGGAGATGGAGTTAGGGATCTCTGCTTTACTACCTGATTGATGTTTCGTACAGTGTCAAACACTCTCTTGTGATGGCTGACAAAGACACATATAGTTAGTATCCTTCCAAATAATATATAAACCACATTATAGTAAATGTTCAAACAAGCCTTCATCAGCTAATTCCATTAATTTCAATACATATCTGTTTCAATACATAACCAGCATATTATGACAGCCTGGTTTAAATTTTCTGCAATTATATTTTAATGTAATTAATAATGCGTTTTGACATCATGCTGGCCACATGATGACAGAAATGTCTTTGGACAGAGTTGATCTAATGGTCTTGAAATGGAGATGAGCACAGCCTCTATAATCAACAGTGATTAGCAGAGTAAAAGCTGCAGGAACTCCTTTAATAATGCTTTTATATTTTGAAAACAGCCTTAGAGGAGAATAGGTATGTTACATCTTAACACTGAAGAAACAATTTATAAGTTATTTATATGTATGGAAAAGGGAAGAAGCATATAGCAGTACCTTTTTCATAAATACTGCCCAGTTTTAATATAATTGACCTTACTTATCTAGACAATATCCCAAGATGACTAGCAATAGTTTTCAGGCTCAAATATTAACACTACCTTCCCCCTGCCCCCAACAGAAAACAAAAACTGAATCAGAAGTTCCTACACTGAACATAGGATGCCATACTTCTGCAAAATAAGTCTGGTTAGAGTAATATAATAAAATGTAGTATTAATATATTTCCACCCGTTCTGCAGAAATAGTGATATCATCTAAATATCTGTCCTAAAACTATTACAAGCTAAGTAAACAGGTTTATACTGAAAATATTAAAATGGCTGAGAATATGATTATTCTTATTGGCTCTGGGCAAAATTAAAAGGAGTGATATGTAAGAACTTAAGTTACAACTATCACCTAACTGTAGTTTAACAATAGTTAAAGGATAAGGATCAGGGGTCCTTGGTACTCTCTGAGCTTGCTTATTTTCTTGCAGACATTTCATTACCTTAACTAGATAATATCATCATTACTAGTAAGGAGTGCAGTTTGCTTTCAGTTTATATTCTGGTGTCTTGCCTGTCTGGGTGGGTAGGGGCAGTCTTAGAGATTTTTTAGTCAGGCTGTTTACTAATGGCTTCTTGGCAGTTTCTTGATTTGCTTATTTGATTGTCTAGTCTAATGAAGAGAAGGATGAGGGGTGACATGATAGCAGTGTTTCAATATCTCAGGGGCTGCCACAAAGAAGAGGGAGTCAAGCTATTCTCCAAAGCACCTAAAGGCAGGACAAGAAACTAACTAAAGAGAGAAGTAACCTAGAACTAAGGAGAAATTTCCTGACATCCAGAATAATTAATCAGTGGAACAATCTGCCACCAGAAGCTGCAAATACTCCAACACTGGAAGTTTTTAAGAAGAGACTGCACAGCCATTTTTTCTGAAATGCTATAGGGTTTCCTACCTGAGCAGGGGGTTGAACTAGATGACCTCCAAGGTCCCTTCCAACTTTTATGATGATGATGATGATGATGATGATGATATGATTATTATGGTTCATCGCACAGTCAGCCAGATGTTCAGACTGGATTTGGCATTTTGTCTACCTATCGAGTCCTTACCAGGACCTGAGATAGGCAGATGTGGATGTTTGATGGTATTACAGATATTGTCGCAGGATGGAAGCAGTTCCTAGTAAGGCCGCCTTTTGCAATTGACTAATAGTGAATTTGTCAATGCCAATGGTGTTCAAGTGGTGCTCCAGTTGTTTTGGGATTGCACCCAAGAAGCCTATTACTATTGGTACTACCCTTGCTTGCTTTTGCCACAGTCTTTCTGTTTCTATTTGTAGGTCTTTGTATTTTGTTATCTTCTCCAGTTCTTTCTCGTCTATTCTGCTGTCTCCAGGCACTGTTGTTGTTGTTGTTGTTACTACTACTACTACTACTACTACTACTACTACTACTACTACTACTAATCATTGCACAGTCAGCCAGATGTTCAGACTGGATTTGGCATTTTTGTCTACCTATCGAGTCCTTCCCAAGGACCTGGGATAGGCAGATGTGGATGTTTGATGGTATTACAGATATCATTGCAGGATGGAAGCAATTCCTAGTAAGGCCACCTTTTAAAATTGACTAATGGCGAATTTGTCAATGCCAATGATGTTCACCTGGTGCTCTAGTTATTTTGGGATTGTACCCAAGGGGCCTATTACTATTGGTACTACCCTTGCTTGCCTTTGCCACAGTCTTTCTATTTCTGTTTGTAGGTCTTTGTATTTTGTTATCTTCTCCGTTCTTTCTCGTCTATTCTGCTGTCTCCAAGCAGTGCCACATCCACTATCCAGACTTTTTTGTCTTTCTTATTGACAATTGTTAAGTCCAGGATGTTATGTTGCAGGTGCTTGTCTGTTTGAATTCTGAAGTCCCAGAGCCATTTAATTTTATCATTTTCTATGACTTTCTCTATTTTATGATCCCAACAGTTCTTGCTTACAGGCAAATTATATTTCTTGAAGATCTTCCAATGCACCTTTGTTGCTACTTTGTCATGCTGCTGCTTGTAGTCAGTCTGGGCGATCTTCTTGCAGCAGCTTACCAGGTGGTCAACTATTTCTTCAGCTTCTTTGCATAGGTGGCACTTACTGTCTGTTGCTGCCTTCTCAATTCTGACTTTGTATACATTTGTCCTTAAGGCTTGGTCTTGTGCAGCCAGAATTAGTGCCTTGGTCTCTTTCTTCAATTTTCCTGCTTTTAGCCATTGCCAGGTCTTGTTATTATCTGATTTCCCAGCTATTTTTTTTAATGTACTGGCCATGTAGAGCTTTGTCTTCCCATGCCTCTATTCTGTTCTTCATTTGGTCTTTCTTGTAGGCCAGTTTGGTCTCTCCAGTAGTCAGTAAGCCTTCCTGATATACTAATTTCAGTGCATCTTCATCACTGTCCTTCAGATATTCTTCCAAAGCCATTTTTTCTTCTTCAACCATCTGATGTACTTGCAGCATTCCACGCCTACCTATATGCCTTAGTAGAGTCTGTCAATGTCACTGCGGATGAAGGGCACAATTCATTTTTCCGGTCTTCCTATCCATTGCTTTTAGTTCTGCTCGAGTCCAGTCCACTATTCCAGCTGTGTATCTAATAATTGGAATTGCCCAGGTGTTGATTGCCTTCATGGTATTTCCTCCATTGAGTTTGGACTTTAAGATCTTCTTCACTCTCTTGATGTATTCACCTCTAATCTTTTTCTTGACTTCAGTGTGCTTGATGTTGTCAGCTTGAAGAATACCCAAGTATTTGTAGTAATCTTCCTCATCCAGACTCTTAATGTTATTTTCGTGGGGCATCTTGATTCTTTCAGTTTTCACTATTTTTCCTTGTTTGATAGTAAATGTCCAAGCCAAACTCCATTGCAATATCTTGGTTATATATATGGACAGTGTTGAGCAGCGATTCTATTTCAGATGATGTTTTTCCATACAGCTTCAGATCATCCATGTAAAGGAGGTGGGATAGTCTGGCAGATGTTTTTGATGTTTGATACCTATGTCCTGAGTTATTCAGTATTGTTGACAGAGGAAACAGTGCAATAACAAATAGTAGTGGTGACAATGAATCTCCTTGAAATATTCCTCTCTTGATATTAACCTCTCCCAGTCTCTCACCATTGACTTGCAACTGTGACTTCCATTGTGCCATCGGTCTTTGCACAAATTTTCTGATGTTTCTACTGACTCCTGTTATTTTTAGGCACCTGATTATCCAGTCACGTGGCAGAGAATCAAATGCCTTTTTGTAGTCAATCCATTCCACATTCAGATTGGTCTTCCTTTTCTTGCAGTTTTCCAAAATCATTTTGTCTATTAGGAGTTGATCTTTTGTTCCTCGGATATTGAGGCGGTTTCCTTTCTGCTCGGGTGGAAAAAGACTGTTTCAAGACAGTTGTACTGAATTGGCTACCACACCAGTTAGCAATTTGTAAGTTGTTGGTAAGGAGGTAATTGGCCTGTAGTTGCCTGGTGTTGCCTCTTTTGTTGGATTTTTCATTATTAGGTATGTTTTCCCAGTTATTAGCCACTTTTCAGTCTCTCCTCTTTGTAGTATATTGTTGAACTGCTTGACAATGAGTGGGTATAGAACAGTTAGATGTTTCAACCAAAACCCATGCAGTTCATCTTCACCTGGTGCCGATCAATTTTTGATCTTCCTTGCTCTTTTTTCTATCATTTTTGTTGTTATTACTAGTTCTTTCATTTCAACTTCTGTTTTATTTGCATCCACCTCTTTTAACCAAGCCACATCCTTGTTGTATTTCTTTGGGTTATTCCCTATCTATCTATCTATCTATCTATCTATCTATCATTATTATTCTGAAGTTGATCTTGGAGTTAATCTATGCTGCTCTGAGTGCTGATTATTGGTGGAGAGGTGCTGGAGTCTTTTTCTCTTTGGGGCTGATTGATTGTCTCTTTTGCATAATCTATAGATGTTTTTAATGTCTATGTGTCTATTGATGGCTGATTTTTCAGAGTGCCAGGCTTCTAGAAATTCCCTGGCATTTTGGGATATAGCCTGGGCTAGGATTGTCACATTTTCTCAATTGAAACCATGGTTAAATCTGTCTATATGTTGTGAAATTAAAGAATTTTCATAATGTCTTTTGACTGCCAGTTGGTGTTCATGAATGTGTTCTGCCAATCTTCTGCCTGTTTGTACTACATGGTGGTTGCTGTAGTTCTTATACTGTATGTTGTAGATAACTCCTGTTTTTTCTTCTGGGGCTGCTGGGTCTTTTGGTTTGCTTAGGATTTTTTAAAGGGCTTTAGTTGGCTTGTGTGCTACGCTGATTCCATGTGGTTGTAGCAGTCTATTTGCAGCTTCTGAGATATTCTTGATGTATGGCAGTGTAATTTTTTTTTTAGGGTTTGTGCTGATTGTGCTGTATTGGGTTGAATGATCAAGGACTTTTTGATGAAGTTGCCTGGGTATCCATTTTGTTGTAATGTATTGTATAGATGCTCCATTTCCCCCCCCCCCCTTTTTTTTTTTTTGCTGTTCTGGGTTGCTGCAGTGTGTTTGGGCTCATTTAAATAAAGTCCTTATACAGCTTCTCTTGTGGGAGCTGGGTTATTGCTTTGGTAGTCAACGTCAAACCAACAATCAAGGAAGCAATGCCCCAATCCAGAAACTGCCAAGAGGCCTTAGTAAACAGCCCAACAAAAGAATCCCTAAGACCACCCCTATCCACCCAGACACCAAAATATAAACTGAAAGCAAACAGCACTCCTTACTAGCACTGATGAGGGTAATGAAACATCTGCAAGAAAGCAAGCAAGCTCAGAAAGTACCAAGGACCCTTCATTTCAACCCTGAGCTACAAATATTCTCCTTCTTTGATAAGGATCAGGCAATTTATGCATGCTATATAAGATTCTTCATATACTCTAGAATATAGAGTAGTGGTGGAGAACCTATGGCATGCATGCCAGAGGCGGCACTCAGAGCCCTTTCTGTGGGCACACGTGCTGTTGCCCCAGCCCTGCCTCCCCCCGCAGCCCCCTCCTCAGCAGCATCCCCCCCTAAAGGAGAGTTGCCCCCGGGCACGGACCACGTAGAGCAGCACAGCCAAGCACATGGCAGCCAGGCAGCAGGGACAAGACTCCACTCTCACGCCCCATCGCACACAGAGATGATGTGCGGAGCGTGTGGCCACCATGGCGCTGCTATATCCACCATATCCAGCCATGTTAAAATGGTATAGATAGATATCTGATGACTCCAATGTTTTAGACAATAAATATCAGTAGCCCTAATACTGCCAGTAAACTATGAGAGTTGTAGTCCAGAATTTCTGAAGGACATCATTTGCCTACCAACATATGCAATGCAAAACATCTGGTGGAATGGAGAGATAATATTTTTTTCACATGCCAAAAGTATAGGAGTGCCTTTATTATTTTAATGATATTTTCCTGATGCATAATTGCATTTCAGTTTTGGTATTTTCAAAAAGATTATTTTTCTATTTTAATTGAGAAGTAGCATATCTTCCTTCCATCAACCCTCCACAAAAAAAGTACATTTCTACATGCAATATCATAAAAACCTTCCGATGTTTCAAACATTTTCTTATATCTAATTATATTCTTATATTTAATAATTTAAATGAAGATTTGAAATTCTTAAGAGATCATTAAAGTCAATTTTCTAAATATTTTTACATACACCACAAAGGTTACTTATTATTAGTGTTAAATACAGCTTTTCTCCAAAGTATTACAATATATTGGTCATACTTTAAATCAGAGCAGTCAGTATCATCCAAATGCAGCTCTTTTCGCATTGATCCTTCAATTTCCGCAGCTAAGGAATCCTGTTGAAACAATTTTAAATTGTGTGAGAGCACATTATTATTTCTGTCTTTCTTTGCAATATACAAAAAGGTGGGGTGGAAGAAGTCAATTTACCATTTTTGAAAAATGCTGTAATTATTTAGAAATATTTCTAGATGCTGCTACAGCATCTGCACCAAAAACACATGCTAGATGTAAATAAATGAATCTAGATGTTTTTCAATATTAAAATTTACAGACATTCTTGGGAAAGAAGTATTATGATAGAGACCTCTAACACCTATGCAGCTTTAATTCATATCTTTTTTGAAAAAAGTATTGTCTCAAATAATGTTAATAACTGGTCCTAGAAAAGTAATTTTTTGAAAAGGAAAGTAACTAAATTACAATAGCAAACAAAGTACCATACACATAAAAAGTTAATCAATAAACCACTAATCAAACTCTGCAATATTATTAAAAACAGCAGAAAAATATATATATGTGGACATAACTATTTTCTATACAATAACTTCTGGTCATCAGGTAACTGAACTGGAATAGTTAGCTGTATTGTATTATTATTATGGTTCATTGCACAGACAGCCATTTTATCTATCTACTAGTCTTTCCCAAGAACATGTAATAAGTAGATGTTGTTTGATGATGTTAAAAGTATCATGGTAGGATGTAAGCTATTCCTAGTAAAAAGTCTGTCTTTTGCAACTGACTGGTGGGGTCAATACTGATGTTGTTCAATTTGTGCTCCAGTTGTTTTGAGATTTATTTTGCCATATTCATTCGACTTCTACTTGCAGGTCTGTGTACTTGTGATTTTTGCATCATTGTTGCTACTTTGTTATGGCATTGCCTGTAGTCAGTCTGTCCAATCTTCTTGCAGCAACTAACTATGTGGTCCATTGTTTTTTCAGCTTCTTTGCAGAAACAGTGTTTACTGTCTGCTGCTTCATTTCTGGCTTTGTATGTATTTGTTCTTAAGGTTTGGTCTTGTGCAGCCAGAATTAGCCCATCAATCTCTTTCCTCAATTTTCCTACTCTTACTCCACGTCTTATTTGCTTGCTATTTTTTTTTTTTTACATACCACCCATGTAATATTTTGCCTTTCCATGTCTTTTATATTCTACTTTTGATCTTTCTCATAGAACAGTTTGGTCAATAAGGTTCATGGTATACCAGCTTTGGTGTGTCTTCTTCAGTATTTAGATATTTTTCCAGCATCCTTTTTTCTTATTCAACTGTCTGGTGTACTTATAACATTCCATGCCCACCTATTTTCCTTGTTAAGTAGAATATGTTAATATCACTATATGGATGGAGCATGATTCATTATTTTTCTAGTCTTCTTATTCAGGGCTTTTAATTTTGCTTGAATCCAGCCCACTATTTCAGCTGCGTATCTAACAACTGGAATTGTTCAGATGGCGATTACTTCAATGATAATTCTTTCATTGACTTGGACATTAAAATCTTCTTCACTTTCATATACTCCTTTCTAACCTTCTTCTTGACTTGGGTGTGCTCAATGTCAGTTTGAAGAATGCCCAAGTATTTGTACTAATTTTTTCAGCCAGACTCTTGAAGTTATTTCTTGATTCCTTCAGTTTTCTCTGTTTTAATTCTGCTGATGGTGAGGGATATAGATTTGTCAAGTTCAAACTTCACTGCAATATCCTGGCTGTATATATATATGGCCAATGTTGAATTCCATTTCAGATGTGTTTTTTCTATATATCTTCTGATCCTTCATGTAAATGAGATGGTAGATGTTTTTGATGCTTGATAGATAGGGCCTGAATTGTTTATGCATGTAATCCTCAACTTACAAACATTTGTTTAGCGACCATTCAAAGTTGAAAAAATAACTTATGACCATTTTTTACATTTGTAACTGTTGCAGTATCTCCATGGTCATCTGATCAAAATTAGGATGCTTAGCAACTGGCATGTATTTATGATGGTTGCACTATCCCAAGGTCATATGACCATCTTTTGCAACCTTCTGACAAGCAAAATTAATGGGGACACCAGATTCACTTAATAACCATGTTACTAACTTAACAACTGCAGTGATTCACTTAACAATTGTGGCCAGAAAGGCGATAAAATGAAGCAAACTCATACTTTCTTGTTTAGCAATAGAAATTTTGGACTCAACTGTGGTCGTTAAGTCAAGGATTATCAGTAATGTTGATAAAGGAATCAGTACAATTACAAACAGCAATAATGAGATGAGCCTTCTTGAAACATTCTCTCTTATTATTAACTTCTCTATGATCTATCACCGTTGACCAGCAACTATGTCTTCCTTTGTGCCATTAATCTTTGCATATGACCGCGTGTTTTTATTGACTCCTATTATTTCTAAGCATTTGATTATTCATGTGACATGGTGCCAATTGCCTTCTTGTGATCAATCCATGCTACATGTTACATTCAAGTTGTTCTTCCTTCTCTTGCAGTTCTTCAGAATAATCTTGTCAATTTGGAATCAATTCCTTGTTGTTAAAGCAGTTTCTTTCCTGCTCAGGTGGAAAGAGCTTGTTTTCAAATAGATGCTGTTAGACTACATCAACTACATCAGCAATTAACAATTTAAAAGTTGCTGGTAAGCAGGAAATTGGCTTATAGTTGCTCAAACTTGCCCTTTTCTCCATTATTTATTTTTTTATCCTTATTCACCTCTTCTTGTTGCTTTCTTGTTGTATATCTTTGGGTTATCCCTAGCTATACCCAGAACGGTACTGTTTCTATGTCAGGTGTTGACTGATACTCTGCAGCTTCTTCATGGATGGATTGATGGTAATATTTTTGATCTGACTGAAATTTGAGATTCTATCTATAGTGTGCAAGCTTTGTATTTGTTGATTGTCTTGGCTGTAGTTATTATATGTTGCTTTATTATAATGCTTCCTTAGTCTTTCTTGTTTCTAGGTGATATTTTTTTTACAGGTATTCTTTGGTCTTCTTCTCCTTCAACTATTATTTTTTCTTTCGTCTATTCTAGCTTGCTTGCATTTTAGTTTGCTGATCTTGTTTTCAAGCCTGATCTTCTATTTTCTATTTTGGTGATGCACTTTTTTTTCTTTGCTGATTTTGCACCAGGTATTTGGTTATAATGTAGCCATGCTGTACATTAGTTAGCTTGTTTCTTATAGTGAGCAAGTGCTTATGTTTGATATTACAATTTTGGCATCTTGTAATACTTGTGCTAGCTGTTTCTTTGGAACAAGTTTCAATTCAGGCAACATTATTCTGTTGTCCCTTTGCTGTTCTAGATGATCAGTTATTTTTTACTTCAGTTCTTCTCTAGTAGAACTTTGTTCTGAGGATAAGGCACAGGAGAGCAAACCTAGTTTGGGAATTAAAACTATTCAGTAATTAATTTGGCTTCCTCTACTGCCAACTTCCCCTGGCTTGCCTTTACTACATGAGCTATTTCTGCAGGGCTTCAATCTCTTTGCCCTGGATAGATCATTGCAGTTCTTCCAATTCCGCTTTTGTGAACATTTTATTCCATATTTATTCCAATAATCCTGAAACTGCTGGCCTTGATTGTTCATCCAATAATCACTGAGTCCAGGAACTTCAACATCTAGCACTATCCTTGTTAACCTGGGCATTGACCAATCTGGTATGTTTTCTGTAAATTACATTTCACCATATTATTTATGAGAGAGGCATTCTTTATCTGGCTCCTCTGATGAGACCTGTCCGGAATGGTTGACTCTGGTAACCTTATGCTTGACCTACTGATCTACCAGAAGCCATGATTCCAGAAGAAATCGCCCCTATCACAAACCTACGCCTTCAGGGGAACACATCTGAAGCAGATATATAATTCCAATAGACAACAATAATTCTATTTTATTAAAGGTTTAATTTAAGCTTGTTCCCACCCATTTAGACCCTCAGGCCTCCATGTGCTTAAACAGGACTTAAATAATATCACCAATTTAAGGGTGATAATGAGGTACAGTTGGTTATCATCAACATATTTATAATACTGAGGTCAACGCTGCTAATATTGAATATTCTTGCTTTGGCAAAATATGCAGAACTGTCTGGTACTTTTAGATTAATCCAGATGAGAAAAAGAGAGGAGAAAAGCCCGCGGAAGGGAACGGAAGTGAATCTTTGCCCTCCAGGTAAATTGGAAGATGTGAATCATGACCCCAAAATAGGGGAGGAGAAATGCCTGGAATGTTATGTGCAAAGGAAGGGAAATTCAGATCTTGGCATTCTCCGTTCTCCTTTTACACTAATAAAGGTTTTTTAGGTTAAACCATGAATGAAAGTTATTTGAAGTATTTCATTAGTCAGAGTCATGACATCATGCCAAGATCCACAAATTAAGAGGTCCCGGACCTTGGTCACTATTCCTAATCTAAAGGGGATAGACTGACAAAGATTCGGGGAAGATCTCATTATGGAAGGAGAAAGATGGCTTGAGGCCAGCACCTTAGCAGCAGAAGCTTCCCCAGGGAGGGGAACGACAGCAGCAGCAGCTTCCCCTGGGAGTGGAGCAGCAGCCAGCCAGCTGGGGGAGAAAGAACTCTGGCAGATCTCCCAGCTGGGAACAAAGACTTCAAAAGTAGAATGGAGAGATAACGAAACTTTGGGTGAGTCACTGGAAAAATTTTAAAATCCAGAGATGAAAAGCAGAAATCAATTCCTGGAGAGAGGAGCCTATACCCCTCCCATTGCACATCAGAAAGCCTGTCGTATCCTGTCTTCCCCTGCCAGGGACCCCAACCCTGAAGAGAGAGGGAAATCCAGTCTGAGGCATCTGCAGCAATGGGTAGATTGGGTTCCCCAGCAGATGGATGTTCAGCGATTTCTGAGGCCTTACAACAGCTTGGGGTGGTGCAGAAGCCAGGAGATCAGCAGCTGGTGGGAGACCGACCACAGCAGGGAGAGTGGCCACAGCCCCCAAACGTGCAACCCCTGGGCATAAATCTGCAGCCAGGATAGGGCCAGCAGCAACAGCCACAGTGGGGGCCCCAACAGCTTATAATTGCA